CTGTAAAATTCAGAATAGAATTTAAAATCCTTCTTCTAACATACAAAGCCCTTAATGACAAGGCTCCATCATATCTTAAAGACCTCGCAGAGCCTTATCATCCCAACAGAGCACTTTGCTCTCGGAGTGCAGGTTTACTTGTGGTTCCTAGAGTCCACAGAAGTAGAATGGGAGGCAGAGCCTTTAGCTATCAAGCTCCTCTCCTGTGGAACCAACTCCCAGTCACAGTTTGGGAGGCGGACACCCTCTCTACCTTTAAGATTAGACTTAAGACTTTCCTTTTTGATAAAGCTTATAGTTAGGGCTGGATCAGGTGACCCTGAGCCTTCCTTTAGTTATGCTGCTATAGGCCTAGACTGCTGGTAGTCCTCCCATGATGCTCTGACCTCCTGTCCTCTCATATCTCTCCACGCATCTATATGCCACCATTACACATTACTAACTTTGTGTCTCCTCTCTCCCGTAGTGTGTCCTCTCTCTCCCTGTACCTTTCTGCAGGTTACCCTGGCCCTGGAGCTCTATGTTTCTGATGAGCAGTCACTGGCCACATCGACCTGATCAGTGTTTGATTGTTGTGTCTTGTTGCTTTTCTTCTTTTCTCTCTCTCTTCTTTTCTATCCACTCACCCCAACCGGTCGAGGCAGAAGGCCGCCCACCAAGAGCCGGGGTCTGTCGGAGGTTTCTTCCATTAAAGGGAGTTTTTCCTCCCCACTGTGCTTGCTCAAAAGGGATTTGTTGGGTTTTCCCTCTGTAATAATAGTGATAAGAGTAAGGTCTAGACCTTACTTTGTAAAGTGTCCTGAGGTGACTTTTGTTGTGATTTGGCGCTATACAAATAAAATTTGATTTGATTTGATTTTAATCAGCAAATCTGCTGGGTTACACAGCATCCCAACCAGTCTGACATCTCATGTTCAGACTTAAATGTAAAACACAGGTTCTATACACACCCACTAATACAACCCATTTAATCCGTCAAGTCCACACTAGCACAATAATTCAATACAATATAAAGACCACAACTTACACACCCTGATTTGTCATGCACCGCTGAACACAGGGAGCTCTCTTCACAGTGTCCAAACTCTCCCTATACTGTAGCACTTTGAAAACCTCAGAACATAAGGCTCTTAGTCATCATCTGATAAGGTACATTTCAACAGTACTGAGTTCTTTCTTGCAGGGAACCCGGGCAGTAATCATATAGCGGCACTGTTACACTAAACTAAAGGAACAATCATGAAAATGTATGGATGAAAACAGATTTTTATTGTTTTTATTCACTGATTTTAAAGCAAGTGCTTTAATTTGAGGTGCATTTTTTGCAAGTAACTGACAACACCGACTCTCCTGATTATGTACCACAGTTTGCTAATTTAAAAGTGCTGTAAGTTGCTCTAGTCTGGTTTTTAGGTCAGTGTTGCACTCGAGTGGACACTTTGGAATTCACATTTTAGGCACATTCAAATAAAGCTTGTAGAAAAATAGGTTTTATGGAGTACTTTTGTTAAGACAATACTGCAACCTTTCTTCTCACTCTAGGTTATCAGCTACAGAATTTCAACATATCTTTTTAATAACAGAAGGAGTAAACAGTATTTAATTAAAAAAATATATCTCAGATGGGATCATTTAAATTTCCACAAGCTAGAATGATTCTTATTTTACACGAATATTTAGCGCCTCCCACAAACTCACGTGGCCTTTTTAGACAGAGCAGGGCTCTATATTTGTGCTCTATGAAATTAGTAAACCCGTTGATGTTCTTTATACACCAGACTGACCAAGAGAGAATATGAAGGTATGCCATACCATGTTGAATATTGGGACGGGGGCACCATTTTGGGAGGAGGAGCTATATTTGCCTGCATACATTCTTATTTTGTTTGGCTAAGAAGTTGCTTAAGTCATTTAGATCTCACTTAACTGACTATAGCTAACTTATAGTGGACCTAGAAATCCCATCAATGAGAGCAACAACTTCACATTCTCTATTTCAGCAAGACTATGTAACTTTTAGATAAGAAATACCACAATCTTCTTCTGGCGAGTGAAAAGTTGAATTCATAGGGAACAAAAACATGCCTTAGCTCAATTCAGTACACTGAATTTTACTGCTATGGCCTGCCTTGGTCTTGTTTAGCTTACACTGTCTAACATCAGAAAACTCAGTAAATATGGCTCTACGACACACATTACTGATAGGCTTTATAACTCTTCAGTGGGCAACTTTGGACAGAAACACATCTACTCCAATGTATATTCTGTAACAGTTTTTTTTTTGTACTACACAGGACTACATCTGCTGGAAGGGAATTATTTTCTAAGGCATCTGGAGTGGCTTCAGCTGTGTAAGGAATCAATACACGTTGATGAAGCACAACCTGTTGCTATAGCAGCATTTTGGTTAGCTAGCTAGCTTATGAATGCCATAAAGCAAATGTGCACTTCTCAGTGTGGCAGAGTGGACTTGATAGACACTGCATATGCAAAGTAATTACAAAATGGAACCAGTGGACTTGATAGACACTGCATATGCACTGTAATTACAAAATGGAACCAAGAGAATAAAAACCAAAACAGAAAAGGATTTTCTGTTCACAACTAAAGTACATTCCACTGCTAAAATGCCAGGCTTACTGACTCTCTGTCACTGCTATTCAGCATAACCATGCATCTTTCTGGACTGTATTAGTAAAACTGCCTTGACATAACCAGTGTAACGTAGCAAAATTATGCCATTTTTTGGCAACTGTGTTTCAAAATGAAATTTCTGTCACATAACTGATTCATAAACTCAGTACATTGTCATGCAACATTTCTTGAAGCTGGCAATCCCCCATCTTGTATTTTGAGTCTACCAAAAACAGATCCCTTGGTGAAACTTATTCCCAGGAGAGGAGAGTAATATTACAATGCTGGGTGTGTAGTCTGCCTGTCAGCCTTCTGGTTCATGTATAAACTAACTGAAAGACTAACAATAACATTACACTTCATCTGTCTAGAGCAGCCACTGCAGACTCTCCCTTCATTTTGCATCAGTACTGCACAAACTTTAAAACCACTAGGTATAAGATTTGAACATTTTGGTGAAAGCAACACACTGATTGCACCAATCTCTCCCAGGATTGTATTTTTTTAAACAAACACAAATTTGCCTTTAGTATAATTTTATAAAACACTACAAAATTCTAGTGATGCTACACTACCCTACATGACAGAGCAATAGCTGACTGTGTGTCTCAATTTGCTATTGTCTTAGCAAGTCTCTGAACAGTGATATACTGCTCAACACTTTGACCCTGGACTAATTCAGATTCTATGAGGTCATACGAGACATTTTCTACCCTAGTTGGAACAACAGGTCCTTTTGTTCATAGACTAGATTAGATAAACCTTATATTTATAAATTAGTACTTTTCTAACCTCAAAAGCCACAAGAATCTCATTTTCAGCACATTCTCAAAATTGTTTACTTGATCATGTGCCATTTCAGCCTTGCAGGTGAAACACGAAACTCAGCGTATGTCCTCTAAAGTGGAAGCACAGTCAACAGATGCTAAAAGCTATGCTCTGAGCATGCAGACTTTTGTAACTAAAAAGCTACAAAGCATAAGGCTACAGGGCAGGGCACAAGGAGCCCTTGGCTTGCTCAGATAATGGCAGGGAGGGAATGAGATCTACCAGCTGGAGCTCACTCCAAACTATTTCTGCATAAAAAGTGCCTGAGGAGCCAGCAGAAACTATCTGGGACATCTCCTTGTACCATGCATTTCCGCCCATTAATGTTCACCAGAATATAAACTGGCAAGAAGAATATAAAAATTATTATTATTACTCATTTAACACCAGGATAGAACACCAGTTTCACTACAGGATATCTTCAGTTGACAGGGATGATCAGGATTGTAGGTTTGACACATACTGTAAGCCTCCTATTCATTAGTATAAGGAGATCACTGTTATTCCTCACTCAGCTAATGAGAATAGTTTCAATAAAGTGTATTTCAAAAAATGCTGCTATTTAGATGTAATGGAAAGCACAGAGTCTCAAGCTTTTGCTATAGCAACCTTGTTGTTGTGATTACGCACTATGCCAGTGTGGTCATTTCTATGACGTGAATTGAAAGCTACAACAGGAAATGTTATCCTCAGACCACAGATCTCTTGCCAAGAGGCATTCAATAAAAGAGATGCAGCTGATGCATTAAGTGGAAGTGCACTGACTGGAGGCAGCAGAAACAAAGTGTTGCTGTACACTCCTCATAGCTCAATTCAGGCTGAACTCAGCATGAAACACAGAGTTACTGTAGAGGTTCACAGGGATAGCATGCAGAATGTTTAACTACACTCACTGAACTGCATCAGTTTAAACTGCAGGGTGGCCACACATAACTTATAGGGAGTAAGCCACTCCTCCCATTGTGATGCCCTGAACAGGCATCACAATTTTTTCATGCAAACAATGGAAATTGAGCTTTCATTGCACAGTCTGATACAGGTAACCTCTTTTGTAAGCGCTGAGAGGGTAGAAGGTAGCCACAACAAATTTCCCATCAAAGGTTCGACCTGTCAGCAACCTCTGAGCTTCTTTGGAGTCACTGGAGCTGGCATACTCCACAAACACCTGGTGGGCACACAAAGGACAAACAGGCGCATTAGTGTGTGAATGTATGTAAAAACTCGGATGTCCGCTGGGCGCAGCACATTCTGGTCGCTCCTCGGTTTCAATACAGTTCCAGAATTCACTGGATGGGTTTCACAGACAAGATGTTTTTAAGCAGCCTGCCCTTCAGCAAACATATTTCATATTACAAGCTTATAGAATATACTATATGTTTACAGTTCATTTAGCTGATTATTTGCCGTACTTTACTTGGTTACCACACATTGGCTCCTATCTATACTTTTTCTCCTGAACTGTCTATTACAGTAGCAGCATTCACAAGTGCATGGCAGTGAATCATCTCCAGAAGCCCCAACAGAGCTGGATGGTGTCCCCGGTGGGGACTGGGAGTGAGTAAACACTGTATCTGTACTGTGAAAGTCCTTGAATCACTGAAATTATCAAACAGAACCATCCTGAACAGAATGGCTAAAGACCAGATTTCATTTCAACGCATAATAAAAAGAGTGTATTGTCCCCTTTTCCTCATATTTTACACCACTTTTTCTACTTATGCTACTGCACAACAATGTGCATAAAGTTTGCTGTGCTAATACCTCATGAAGTCTGCCCGTTTCCAACAGAGTAGAGGTTTCCTCTGATGAAACTGCTCTGAAGTAAATGTTACTGAGGATTCCCTGTGGCACCTTGGTTTTTACATTAAGTGAAACAATTTTTGAAGATGCTGATTAATAACACAGCTGCCTTACCTGTCCTTTTCCTGGGTTCTCCTTGGGGATGAGCAGAGAAACCACTGAGCCGTACTTCTGGCACTCCTCTTTCATGTCCTCCAGGATGTCTGGGAACAACAGGATGTTTTATGTATGTAAGAAACCAAATATCAATACAGAAATGTACAAAAAACAAACAAAGAAACTAACAAAAAACTAACTGCACTATGTTGTACCTTCATATTCTTCTTCATTGTGGAGATGGCTGTCGTCAATCAGGTTGAGCAGACGAAGAACAGGAGAGGGCAGCAGAACCAGGTCCTCAATGTGAGGAGCTGGTTCACACACATACACAGGTAAATATGACACACTGAGATGTATGCTCACTTTGGTCACAAATACTGACACATACCAAAGGGAATACTGAAGAATGGGCTCAGCAGGGCAGTTTCAGCTGTGCATCTTTGCTTTGGGTCACTGAGAAGCATGCTGCAGACAGAGTAACACAGGCCTAATCAATAACCAGAGACATACAGACAACGCTCCTCTGACAAGTATGTCATCGTGTGGCATAGTTCACAGTAGAAAAGATAATGGGGTCACCTTTTGATAAGGTCTCTGAGGTGATAGACAGGGATGGCAGGGCACACCAGACTGTTGCTGGCAAAGATATGGTCAACGATAGCAGCACTGTTATCCTATACAAGAGGAAAACATTGCACAATAGCAGTTTAGTACTACAACAAAATATCTGCATTATTAGACTTTTTCTTGTTGAAAAAAATTATAAACACTCATAAAGTTCTACAAAATTCCTTTTGTTTTTTATTTTGGGCCTGCAGCCTTATTATAATGTTTCTTGTATTAATTCTTATTCAATATTTTATGCTTTTTTCTTTCTATTTCCATGAGAAGCACTTTAATATAGAGGCAACTGTCAAAGTGATTATTACAAAGAGAGTGGCTCACTGGTATGTTTTTATTAGTTTTTGGACATTTGTGGAAAATAACTCCCCCAAAAATAAAAAATAACCAGCCTTACACTTTAAGCAAGGAAAATGAATCTTAAGGAAATCAAATCCATCAAATACTCAAGCAGATTGTTCTTCCTATAACCTCTAGAGTCCTGAGCTTTGGAAACCCAAGCTGTGCGGTCCTCATATGAGGACGCAGGGACTCTAGAGGTTAATGATTTAATCAGTATGAATTTTGAACATGTCCACATTTTTAAAATGTTGTTATTCCAAAATCATCAATCTACCCTGCATCGAGCTTCGACATACCTTCCACTCCTGAGAGCGGACGGTGTCTTTAAGTTTGATTCCTGAGAACATCTCCAACAGGATAATGCCCAGGCTCCACAGGTCCACAGCGACTGTGCAGCCCGAGTCTCCCTCCACCTCCACTCCAGCCTGAGCGAGGCTATTCTGAAGCTCAGCCTCCGGAGCGCGATACCCGTCTGTCTGGATGTACTTGACATCCTGGAGTCAAGAAATACAATAATCAGTCCCAGCTCTTCTTTTACCGACTTTCAAATCTGAAGACACACGCACCTGGTTTCCCTCTTTGAAGCTGAGTCCGAAGTCGATGAGCTTGAAGCACTCGTCATCAGGACTCCAGAGGATGTTGCGTGGCTTGAGGTCGGCGTGAACATAGCCTTCCCTGTGAAGAAAGGTGAGAGCCTCCCTGTAGCACAGTGCTGAACAAGCCACATGGAGTGGCCCTGCTGGGGTCTGCCAATAAATATCACACTATGAAGTTAGACAGAAAACCAAAGCACTCCTAAATATATAAAGCTTTACAGTGCCTGTGATACCTTTATTCATTATATTATTAACACAGAATAAGGGGACCATATGGAAGGAAAAGAAAACTTCTGCAATTAAGCTAGTATGCTTAGTATGGCTTTATATGTAATGTGATATACAGCTAAAGGTAATTTGCAGCACAGCACTCCTAAATATATAAAGCTTTACAGTGCCTGTGATACCTTTATTCATTATATTATTAACACAGAATAAGGGGACCATATGGAAGGAAAAGAAAACTTCTGCAATTAAGCTAGTATGCTTAGTATGGCTTTATATGTAATGTGATATACAGCTAAAGGTAATGTGCAGCACAGTTGTTTTACCAACAGAAAGCAGAATGTACTGCTCTGAATGAAGCTTTTGAGTAAATAATCTATTTCTGATACAATGTATCAGTGCGTTATCAATACTCTGTAATTTTTCAATGCTTTAAGAAGCACAAACAAAATTCCATCATATCAATCAGCAGATGTTTGAGCAAGAATAAAAAGAAAAGAGAAAAAGAAAAACTCCCCGCCTGTCTAGGTATCACTGTTTGGTTTGTATTTCTTGTGGGGCCATTAGGGTGAACTGGCCGTTTAATGGCACAACTTATGAAACAGATGTCACAGATGTGGTATAGGTGGAGGATTAACACATCAAGCACTAGTATACATATATCAGGAAAAAAAAAATCACGACCCACCTACCACCCTGGGTACCACTGCTGCCTCTGACCAACAGCTCAGACACACTGACATCCAAGAGCTCCAGCAGAAGACAGCGGGTGGCAACACCCATACAGCTGTGGTTGGTGAACACCCCATACAGTGTCACTGTGAGGAGAATAAATTTGTCATTACAAACACCGAGGCCTGTAATGGCGCATTCACTTCATGTTGACAGTACATACGACCTTTCTAGTGACAAGTACTACTTTATGAAAATGAGTGACTGTGACCCTCCTAGTACTAATGCATGTTCTACATGAAATGAATAAAGACTTCTGGGGAAAGTGTCTACACAAATATAATACAGTAGGTTTACAAAGCTAACTCTTGTCAACCATTTGCTACATTTTACTGTGGAACAACAATGTGAGATTTTGAAACAAGGCCATGTTACTGAAACCAGTTCCTACTTCACAGTCTGTCATAAACGGAATTATAACACGGACCTTGACTATTTTAAAATGATCTAACATGAGAATATAGGACTAATTACAAACAAATTAGAGCGACAGATTGTCTAAAGGAAATCGGCATTTGCTTTCTTAGAAACAGTATCAGACTGCACCATGACAGTTTTCTAGGATGGTTCTAAGCAATGACATAAACGATTATTACTTTTATTAGCTGAAAATGTTGTTATGCTACAGGCGGTATTGAAAGCACATCCCCTGGCTGTCACATGTTTTCAGGGGGTAAAATAACGTCGTTACCGATGTTTTTATGTCCCTGGATGTCCTCCAGCACGGACCTCTCCTTGTGATACCCGTAATCTCCTCCCTGGGTGTCGGCCTGAAACTCCTTGACAGCGGCGGTGGTGGCTCTGCCTGAGCTGACCCGGTACACCGAGGCCGAGACTCCCTGGCCAAGCTGCGACTGGACGGTCCATATCTCGCCGAAGATCTCGAACAGCACCGGCTTCACGTTCTGATCTACGCAACCGTGCGGCGGCATGGAACTGTCCGGATGCGGTGCCTGTACCTTTACGTTCGGCTCAGAAGAACCGCAGTGAGCCATTGGGCAGCGGCAGACGGGAGACAGGAGGAGAGAAGCCAGCTAAATGACAGGTGTGAGCAGGTGCAGGGGCATTGCGAGCGAACCGGGCTCTACCAGCGTCACATAAACATAACAGGACGTGTCACCAGCGGCTAGTAGATAATTCGGTTACACCTGCACCCTTGTTAAAACTAAGCACAAAGTAGAACTTGGACATATTAGACTGCTGTTTTGTTTAGATTATCAAAATGAGCTCACGGCAGTCAGCTGAAAAAGTTAGCTAACTTAGCTCCTTCAAATGGCTAAACTAGCCACTGAATTTGTGCACAAAGACAAACCACTTCCACGATGCCTCTGAAAATGCTTTCCTCATAAGATACCGGATGTTACTAAGGCATTTTAATTAAACATAATTTTGTTTTCACTTTCAACTGCACCGCAGCCAAGCTCTACCTTTAAACTCTTGTTGTTGTTGATACTAATCTTACTTCCGTTTCTCACCTCCCCTCTGCAGGAATACGGTCCGTGTATTTTCTGCAGTCTGCCCCCTCCCGGTGAGGAGTGCACCTACACTCCGTTCTCCTTCTGTCGTTCCTGTGGAGCCAGGGCTTTAGATTTTTGCATTAAAGAGCCCATTTTGCTCATTTCCAGCCATTTAATGTTTAATCTTGGGTACCTCTAAATTAGCTTTGCACTCCTCATAACTCCAAATAGTCTATAATTATTTCAGAATGATAAAACCAAAGAGCCTCCTCCTAAAAACCAGAGGATAGCTTGTGAACACACGCACAACTCTTGTTGCCAGTGTTGTGTCAAAAGTGGACAGCACAAGGAACCGCAACAGCAGTAATTAATTTTCTCCTCTGTAGAAAGGTAAACAGCAGTATATGTACCGCTGAAAAGAGATGTGTAACACTCTAAACAAAGTGGGCAATTGAGCATCATCATAATTTAACTTGCATAATACAGACATAGGCAGAGGCAGCAAAGCAGCCCCACATCATGATGCTCCCTCCACCGTACTTCACTGTTGGGATGATGTTTTCATGTTGGAATGTGGTTCTCTTTTTAAGTCATATGTAGCGCTGTGTGTTCTTCCTAAAAATTTTACCTTCATTTCATCTGTGTTGTTTAGTATCAAGGTGGTCTTTGGCAAACTTCAGGCGAGCTGCAATGTTGTTTTTGGAGAGCAATAGCTTCCTCTGTGGTATCTTGTCATGGTTACCATGTCTGTTCAATTTTTTTGCAAATGGTTGACTCCTGAACAGAGATGTTAACCAACTCCAATGAATCCTTCAAGTATATAGCTGTCACTCTAGGGTTCTCATTTACCTGACCTGGGGTGTTATCTGGGTTTGTTGCCTTATGGGGTCTTCAGGGCTTTGTGTACATCAGCAGATGAGAATGCTGGCCCGTTCTGAGTGTGTGAGAGTCTCATCTGTATTTTACTGTTAGATGTCTTAAAGTGAGGTGACATGGTGATGCAGTTCTTAGTGCTGTCAACTCATAGCGAGAAGGTTCTGGGTTCAAACCTGGGCTAACCCGAAGTTTGCATGTTCTCCCTGCGCCTGCGTGGGTTCTCTCTGGGTACTCTGGCTTCCTCCCACAGTCCAAAGACATGCAGCTTATGTCAGGTTCGGCACGTAAAGTTGCCGATGATGTCGAGGGTGAACTCAATTATAACTCCAGATGAACACAGGTAGAGTATAGATTCTTTACTAGTAACACAAAACAAACAGAACAAAAGTCCAGAATCCAAATCAGGTCACTAATACAATCCAAGGTCAATGCAAACACACATATCCGAGGGATCCACAATCGCATGGTCAGAGAGGAGATATCCGAGGGTCAGTACACAGCAGGCTAACAGAATCAGGGGGGATAAGGCAAAGAACAGTGGTCAAAAGCAATCCACGGTCAGAACAAGAGAGTCATGCACACGAATAATCACTGGAAAGTCAGAGCTGGGGTCTAGAACAATCTGGCAGCTTTCCGGTGGAGGGAAAGCTGCTTATATCGGGGTGAAAACAGGTGTAAACAACTGAGTACTGATTAAAGTAAAAAGTCCGTAACTGAGCTATGGCTAAACAGGAAGTTATGTCAAAACAAAAGCATGTAACCGGAAACAGGTGGAACAGAATCATGACGGCTTAGGTTGATTGGTGACTTTAAATTGCCCCTAGGAGTGAGTGTGGGTGTGTGCGGTTGTCTAAGTGTCCGCCCTTTGATAGACTTGCAACCTGTCCAGAGTGTAACCTGCCTGTCAGCCCCATGCGAAGCTTCGGTAAGTGGCAGTTTTCAGTGTGTGAAAGACTCTCAGCTGCTCTGTGGTCTCACTCTTAGTTTCATGGGACTGTAACAAGTAGAAACTGCAGGTGTTTGTGTGTGAAAAGCAGCTGTTTGTCCGGAGAAGAACTTCGGCCCTGTCCTACCGGTTAGCCACCGTGTCTAGCTGCTAGTAGCAGGAAGGAGCAGAGCTACATAGGAGAAATAGAGTTCATGTGCAGCTGTTTCATGTTATGTATTGTTATAGTTTTTTGTGGAGGGGGAATCTGTACTGGGGGTTGTCCCTTATTTTTTCCCATTGAAGGTGGCAACCCTACTAAAAGAACACTTGGAGGCCTTTGGATGTGGTTATTGTATTTTATTGTATATAAGAGGTGTAACAAAGCAAAGAGCCAAAACCGGAGTCCAACAGGACATTCTTTACTACATTAAAAGTATGGCACCACTGTGTACAAGTACTCTGTTACAACTCACAGTTCTGCACTGAAAGCTTTACTTAAAGTACATAAGTATCATCAGCTAAATGTACTGACAGTAGTCAAAGAGTCAAAAGTACACAGCGCAGTAAAATGTCCCCTGTCAGTGCTGATATGGATGATGAAATCATTCTTACTGATGCGTTCATGTGTCTGCAACCTTTCACTGTGGGAGCAGTTGAAGTGAAACTCCTGTTGAACTGTTTTATTTGTGAATCTGCAGTGATTTAGTCATTTTTGATGAATCTGCTCATTATGGTCTTGGGTAATCAATTAATAGTTTGGTCTGTTAACATCCACAGTAAAGTGAGAAATACTTGTCACAGTGTCCCAAAGCCCAAAGTGGCATCTTCACTCAGCTTGTTTTGTCCAGTGACTGTAAGTGTGTTAAGCTAACCTGTTTCTGGCAGCTACAGATGGACTGATGGAGCAGCCGAGCATGTTCCAGGGAACATTGTCAGTGCTGTTGTACTGACTGAGTGCAACTCAACCAGCAGCTGTGGGCCCTGCTATGAGTCAGTGTGAGGACAGTGAGGAAGGAGTCCCCCCCTCTAAAACCACTCTGTGTGGGGACCATGAGAGCCAGACCAGAGCTCAGAGGTGAGATGAGGATCTCTGACAGTCCAGGACTCTTCTACATGTCAGAGCTCAGCACCAAACATCACTGCACCATCGTTATTCACACACACACACACACACACACACACACACTGTCACATCTGGCACTCAGCTACAAATTAACCACTGGTTGTCTTAATAAGCAAAGACCCAACCACTGATTAGTCAACTAACCAACGAAGATTAGACATCATCTTTCATCAGATGCTGATGAATAGGAGAACATTACTGGTTTTTTTGTTTTTTTTTACTGATTTTCTGTCTGCTTCTAACATTTCAACTAGTCACAGTTTGTGCAGAATTCAGGATTTTCAGGTTAAAAGTACTTTTCATGTGTCTTGTTTGCTTGAATCAGGAGACGGCGGAGAAAACCAGACTCTCCGGAACCCAGCTGTGCGAGTGACCAGTCAATGGATCAACTTATTGTCTTTAAAGATGGACCGCCTGCTGATAAAAGGTAAGAATTTTAAATAGATTTTTTTTTAAATATGACACTTATCAGAAGATAAATCATGACTTTATCCAGAGCTTTAGGACTGAACTCCATGCTCAGGTGTTAAATTAATTTAAAAGTACTTTCATTTGTCACTTGTTTGCTTGAATCAGGAGACGGCAGAGAAAACCAGACTCTCCGGAACCCAGCTGTGCGAGTGACCAGTCAATGGACCAACTTATTGTCTTTAAAGATGGACAGCCTGCTGATCAAAGGTAAGAATTTAAATCAGACTTTAAAAAAAAAAATTTATCTGGCACTCCTAAAAAGATAAATCATGATTTGGTCCAGATCTGAGTCAGCACTTCTAAAGTGTATAACGATATTCTGCTGTATGTTGACATGGAAAACCCTGTTTTGTTACTACTGCTGGATCTCACATGCCTCATTATCTGACCAAGCTAGCTCTATTAGCAGGTCTGTTGGCAAGGACGCAGGTGTTCAAGCTGCACATTATAGCTGCATTTCCACTGTAAGAACCTAACAAGTGGTACATTGTAGTGCTTCCTTTAACCATTACCCTGGCATAACCTCACATGTTGACACGGACCATCCTGCTTTCGTAGTGTCAGTCTCTGTTTAGAGGAGAGACGGGCTGTGCTCCTCTCACAGCTGAGCAGAGGGAGAGCAGAGGACGTGAAGAATCACTCCACAGTGCAACAATCAGCCAGTAACAGAGACTGTATGAGTAGTTTACCAAACAGCTGTTGAACAAGCAGAGCACAAACTTGCAGAAATGTGACACCTTCACCACTTTTCCTGTGGTTCACTCACTGAATTCCCCATTTTACCCCTAAACTAACAAGTGAATGTTTGTCCTGTCTGTCATTTTTTTTTGAATAACCTTTAAATTAATAATGATATCAGCATTATTCCAAATGCCAGTAGTAGGTTTTCATGGTCAAGCCTTCATATTGTGAGGTTCAAACTATAATGGGAATGTTGCTTTTATGGCATTATCAGGAAACTGAGTTGCCCCTTGGTGAAGGTTTGCACCTTTCAGGACTCAGCTACCTGTTGAGGAAGCTGCTCATCTTTCTCCATCAGTCCCACAGTTGTTGTTGGTACCTTGTAAACAAACAAACAAAAGTCACAAGATGTTCAGGCTTTAAACTTGTCAGGTGAGCCACACTAGTGAGCCGGGCCCTGACTTCATGAATGATTGACTAAACAGCAGCTATCTCACAGACTGCTGTCAGACATGTTGCCAAAGCTCCTGGTTGTTTTCTCTGAGCTAGATGGGTGTGGCGGGCCATCCAGAGGCAAGTGGACTTTAACTACTGTTTCAAGGGCAATTTTAGCAGGTGAAAATATCAAGAGCTAAGTGAAGTGTATTGCCTGGGGCTGACCATTTTCTTTTACATGGGCTGGTTGGGATGGTTAAACTTAATATACACATCTCATTATTTACCATGAGTTTCTTCCTGAAAGAGACAATTCCTGCCCATATAAGCTGCTTCTACATCTGCTACCTTGGAAGTACCTTTATATGCTTTCCTCTTTCACATTCTGTCTGGATTTAAAAAGATAAGTTCTACTTGGCTACAAATCTGAATTGCTTAAAATTTGCAGGGTAAGCACATCAGTAACGGCAGTTCAAAGTTCAGGTCCTGATCTCCCATTTATCACACAACGCTGGTGCATCCACTAGGCATCCCAGTTTTCTTGTCCAAATGGGACATTTTAGAGTTTATCCTAGAAACCTTTTTAATCTGGGGAATGCCCTGGAACATCAAAAGGTTTCTGTGTCTCTTTGTGACAAATGAGAATTTATTTGACAAATATACACTTGGGAAATTTTGCGCCACTCTTTTTAAGAAAATTGTCCACTTGGGATAATTTTGCTTGGGGACGTGGAGTTTCCCAAATGGGACTTTTTGTGACACTCAAGTGCTTTTGACCAGGTATTTACTAATATTACATTTGTACATTTGTGGGATGGTGAATTCTAAATGCACAGTGTTCAAATGTGCATATTTTATATAAAAAGGCTCAAATGGCTGAAAATTTAGAGCAAAACATTCTGACTTGGAACCTAGATGTGGCATAGGAAGGAGTAGCTCTCTACACCCAATGCTGTCCTTACCTCTTCACAGAGTGTCTTTTGGGGGTGGAAAGAAGTCAGCCTTAAAGAACACCCACTGTTGTGCAATATATTTATTTACACATTTATAATATTTCAACAGAAACTCTTTTAGAAACTCTTTAGTGGGTGTCCAATTGGAAAACCCAGGGTCCCCATACAAAAATCAAATGTACAACGACACTGTAAAACATAAGACAGGAATTTTGTGGAATAAACTAAACTTTTATTGTTAACTTAGTGTAAATATGTCTCTGGGAGCAGCTTTGAATGTTGTCATAAATCACCTTTGGTACAAAATGCCTTCAGTAGCTACAGCTTTAAGTTCTTCATGTCAAATGAACAACTGATATTTTGATAAGATATTTGACCTTTGTACAGTGTATCAGCTTTATGATGCTGAGATCTACCTGATGGGGGGAGGATGGCAGCTGCTTTGGTCAGCAGGGATGTTTGTAGACCTATATACAGTTACTGTGGTTAGAACAGGTTGTTACTGAGCCATATAACTCCTGTAAAACAAGTTTAGACTGTTTGATTAGGTCAACAAGAGGTGTCATAGAAGACTGCTAGGACAGCTAAGACTGCAGTTGCCTTGTCATTCTTACCTACTCCTGAATATGGTTTTAAAGCAAAACTGAAAGCTTTAGAAAACCGCCATCATGTTTCTGTTCTTTTTTGAAATGACTTTACTCTTATATGTGAATCATGCATGTTCCTTAAAGTTGACATTTTCTCTACAGAGTTCAGCAACGGAGATCAGGGGTTCACAGTGATCAGTCTGCAGAGCAGCATCAACCAAACCTGGATTACATATTTATGGTGTGTATATGTACAGTCACACTTTCTACTATGAAATGTTTAAAACGGAGTGGATGCTAAACAACTATTTAGGTCCTAACAGACTCTGTTCAGATGCTCTGTTCTGCTGAGTCAAGATCAGAAGATCACAGCTGCCTGCTGCTCTATTCAGACCAGCAGGCCTTCAAACTGACAGATGAATCATATGCAGTGTTCAACCAGTTTATATTAAATATTCAATTTATCTTTCTCTTCCAGCTGCTGGAGGAGAATATACTCACGTTTGCAAAGAATGAACTGAAGAAGATCCAGAGGTTCCTGAGACAAGATTACCCAGAATGCTTAGAGAGTCAGAGGGAGTATGAAGAGATGTTGGACAGTGAGGATGAAGAGCAGAGGAGGAGCAGCAGAGAGTCATTTCTGCTGATCACAGTGAACTTCCTAAGGAGAATGAAGCAGGAGGAGCTGGTTGAGCGTCTGCAGAGCAGTAAGAGGGTTTGAACAGATTTAACATGAATCAGAGGAAATTTAGGCAACATGGGAGAGGTTTACATTTAGTGGCTGTGGCTCAGGAGGTAGAGTGGGTTGTTTCCTAACTGGAGGATTAGCGTTTTGATTCCCGGCTTGTCCAGTCAACATGTCAAAGTGTCCTTGAGCAAGACACTGAACCCCCATTTGCTCCCGGTGATGTCACCGGTGTGTGAATGCGTGAGTGCTTGGGAGTGCGAATGGGTGAATGGCCAAATAGTGTGAAAGCGCTTTGAGTGTGCTATAAAGCATAGAAAGGCGCTATACAAGTAAAAGACCATTTACACACTCTGCTGTAGATATGCTGCAACCATCTGCATCAGATCACAGGCAGTTTGTCCTCCCCTTATGTTAAAAACTCTACAGATATTTAAATGTTTAGATTCTCAGATTTTCTGAAGGATCCACTCACTGATTCCTTTCCTTTTTTTTATTCAGCAATTGATGCTGGAGTGTGTGGACGTAAACTGAAGTCTAATCTACAGCAGAAGTTCCAGTGTGTGTTTGAGGGGATTGCTAAAGCAGGAAGCCCAACCCTTCTGAATCAGATCTACACAGAGCTCTACATCACAGAGGGTGAGACTGGAGAGGTCAATGATGAACATGAGGTCAGACAGATTGAAACAGCATCCAAACAGAAACCAGTCAGACCAGAAACAGCCATCAGACAGGAAGACATCTTTAAACCCCCACCTGGAAGAGATGGACCAATCAGAACAGTGATGACAAAGGGAGTGGCTGGCATTGGGAAAACAGTCTTAACACAGAAGTTCACCCTGGACTGGGCTGAAGACAAAGCCAACCAGGACATCCAGTTCACATTTCCATTCACTTTCAGAGAGCTGAATGTGCTGAGAGAGAAAAAGTACAGTTTGGTGGAACTTGTTCATCACTTCTTTACTGAGACCAAAGAAATCTGCAGGTTTGAAGAGCTCCAGGTTGTGTTCATCTTTGACGGTCTGGACGAGTGTCGACTTCCTCTGGACTTCCACAAGGCTGAGATCCTGACTGATGTCAAAGAGTCCACCTCAGTGGATGTGCTGCTGATAAATCTGATCAGGGGGAACCTGCTTCCGTCTGCTCACCTCTGGATAACCACACGACCTGCAGCAGCCAGTCAGATCCCTTCTGAGTATGTTGACATAGTGACAGAGGTCAGAGGGTTCACTGACCCCCAGAAGGATGAGTACTTCAGGAAGAGGTTCAGAGATGAGGAGCAGGCCAGCAGGATCAGTTCCCACATCAAGAGCTCCCGAAGCCTCCACATCATGTGCCACATTCCAGTCTTCTGCTGGATCACTGCTACAGTTCTGGAGGATGTGTTGGAAACCAGAGAGGAAGAAGAGCTGCCCAAGACCTTGACTGAGATGTACATCCACTTCCTGGTTGTTCAGTCCAAACTGAAGAAGGTCAAGTATGATGGAGGAGCTGGGACAGATCCACACTGGAGTCCAGACAGCAGGAAGATGATTGAGTCTTTGGGAAAACTGGCTTTTGAGCAGCTGCAGAAGGGCAACCTGATCTTCTATGAGTCAGACCTGACAGAGTGTGGTATTAATATCAGAGCAGCCTCTGTGTACTCAGGAGTGTTCACACAGATCTTTAAAGAAGAGAGAGGACTGTACCAGGACCGGGTGTTTTGCTTCGTCCATCTGAGCGTTCAGGAGTTTCTGGCTGCTCTTCATGTCCATCTGACCTTCATCAACTCTGGTGTCAATCTGCTGGCAGAAGAACAAACAACATCCATGTGGTCTAAACTGTTTGTGGACAAACCTGAACCTAAACATCTCTACCACAGAGCTGTGGACAAGGCCTTACAGAGTCCAAATGGACACCTGGACTTGTTCCTCCGCTTCCTCCTGGGTCTTTCACTGCGGACCAATCAGACTCTCCTACGAGGCCTGCTGACACAGACAGGAAGTGGCTCACAGACCAATCAGGAAACAGTCGAGTACATCAAGAAGAAGATCAGTGAGAATCAGTCTCCAGAGAGAAGCATCAACCTGTTCCACTGTCTGAATGAACTAAATGATCGGTCGCTAGTGGAGCAGATCCAACAGTCCCTAAAATCAGGAAGTGTGTCCACAGGTGAACTGTCTCCTGCTCAATTATCAGCTCTGAGCTTCATCTTACTGTCATCAGAAAAAGATTTGGATGTGTTTGACCTTAAGAAATACTCAGCTTCAGAGGAGGCTCTTCTGAGGCTGCTGCCGGTCATCAAAGCCTCCAACAAAGCTCTGTATGTGCACATGTAACATTCCAGATTAGGTTTATCTTTATCTTTAACTAAGACAAAAAGCTAACTGGTTTATTTTGCTTTGCTGGTTTCTCTTCAGGCTATGTGGTTGCAACCTCTCAAAGAGAAGCTGTGAAGCTCTGTCCTCAGTTCTCAGCTCCCAGTCCTCTAGTCTGAGACACCTGGACCTGAGTAACAACGACCTACAGGATTCAGGGGTGAAGCTGTTGTCTGCTGGACTGGAGAGTCCACATTGTAAACTGGAAACGCTCAGGTCAGGATTCAGCTTTATCACTGTACTGTTTTATATATTGTTCAGGACTTTTTACTGTGTCATTCCAATTGAATGCATATAATTTTTTATTGATCGGAAAGTTATGATTTCTTTAGCTATGTTGCCTTATTGAGTTAACACCAATGTCTGGTCTTAAGTTCATGTGAACAGCTGCACTGGAAATATCTTTAATGAAAGAAACATTGACAGCTAAAAGGGAAGAATCAGAATTTCAGGGGCCTTCTCATTTCATCATTTATAAGCATTTGGGACAAATAGTCTGGTGAAAGACCTTGTAGTGCCTTAGAAACTAGTAGAAACAATTGAAATCAAATCTGTAGAAGCTAACAGGTGACCAGAGTAAGATTTTAAGATAGGCGTATCGCGTCCTCTTCTTCTTGGTTGATCAGAATGGAGATCACTGTTTGATCAATGGTTTAATCCTCATCTCAGGGGACTTTAACCATGCCTCCCTCCCCTTCTCTGCCACCCTCCCTAACTTCTAACAGTATGTTAATTGCCACACGGGGGACAATAAAACTCTGGACCTACTGTATGTAAATGCAAGAAATGCATACACCTCCGCCCCGCTCCCCCCTTTAGGTCGCTCTGACCACAACCTTGTCTACCTGATTCCTGTGTATACTCTAGTGGTGAAAAAGGTGTCACCACAGGTCAGGGTAGTAAAGGTATGGACAGAGAAGGCAATTGAGCAGCTGAGGGACTGTTTTCACACCATAGACTGGGACATCCTCTGTAGTCCTCATGGAGTACATAGATGGCCTCACACACTGTGTTTCAGATTACATAAACTTCTGTGTGAAAAATACCATACCATCCAGGACAGTACGGTGTTTTCCTAACAACAAGCCGTGGGTGAGCCCCGAGTTAAAAGTACTGCTAAATGAGAAGAAGAGGGCTTTCCTCTCAGGGGACAAGGAGGAGCTGAGCAGGATACAACGGGAACTAAAATACATGATCCGGAGGTGCAACACCTACACCAGTCTGAATGGATTATTAACTACCTCACAAACAGACCTCAGTTCGCAAGGCTGCGGGACTGTGTGTTGGATGTGGTAGTCTGCAGCACAGGGGCAGCACGGGGGCGCCACAGGGGACGGTGCTTTCCCCCTTTCTGTTCACCCACTACACATCGGACTTCAAGTACAACTCACACCAGTGTCATCTACAAAAGTTCTCAGACGACACTGCTATTGTTGGATGTGTATCTGGGGGGATGAGGGGGTATACAGGGGGGTTGTTACTGACTTTGTGGAGTGGTGTGAGAAAAATCACCTGGTCCTGAACACCAGCAAGACAAAAGAGATGGTGATTGACCCCCAGAAATCACCAGCACTCACTCCAGTGAGCTTGCAGGGCTCAGATATTGAGATTGTGGACACCTTTAAATACCTGGGTGTCCACCTCAACAATAAACTGGATTGGAGCAACAACACAGACGCCCTGTACAGGAAGGGCCAGAGCCGCCTCCACTTGTTGAGGAGACTGAGGTCCTTTGGTGTGGGTGGGGCACTCCTTCAGGCATTTTATGATTCTGTGGTGGCATCTACTGTTTTTTACGCTGTTGTGGGTTGGGCAGGAGGTAGCACGGTCAGGGACAGCAAGAGACTAAACAAACTGGTTAAGAGAGCTGGTTCTGTCCTGGACTGCCCCCTGGATTCCATCGAGGAGGTGGCGGACAGAAGGATGCTGGTAAAACTAACATCCATCATGCATAACCCCTCCCATCCCCTGCACCCCACAGTGGTGGCTCTGAACAGTTCCTTTAGCACGAGACTGTTACATCCCCAGTGTAAGAAGGAGCGTTACCGCAGGTCATTCCTCCCCACAGCTGTAGGACTTTTGGTTCTTCTTACCATTGCTAACTCTAAGAGACGAGACTATAATAACTGTAGCCTTAGCCATAATATGTTCTTATGTTTAATATCACGACATGTTACTAGAGGTCCTGTGAGAATGTTTTTAGCTACACACCACTTAATCAACAGACACACACACACACACACACACACATTGATTTGCTTCATGTTTTGACTACTGCTATGACCAGCTGCAAAGTTGGCAACAGAGACATCTCAGCTGACGTTTCTGTGTAGTATGGGGCTAGCCCAACCGAGGGGATATAATGTATAGGCCTGGTGGGTTCAGGGTCTTTCATCTTACATCTGCCTGTGAGCAGTTTGGAGGTGCAAGATACCTGAGTGTGTAATGTTAATTTTACCTGTGTTCATTGAATAAATCAGCACTGTTTTGAAGTTACTTGGACAGCCTCGTCTCTCAGAGTTAGCAATGGTAACAAGAACCAAAGACCAACACCTTGTACCTCCGGATATGTACTTAAGTTCCCGCTGCACCCTGCTCCTTGTCCCCTGAGAGGAAAGCCCTCTTTTTCTCATTTAGCAGTACTTTTACCTCAGGGCTCACCCATGGCTTGTTGTTAGGAAAACACCGTACTGTCCTGGATGGTATGATATTTTCCACACAGAAGTTTGCAGCCTGACATGACTTTAACTGTTTCACCTGCAACATAATAATCATCCAGTTTAATGTGAAAGGTTTGCACCCTTTTGAGGTTAACTTTTTAAATTGCTGACTACAGTATTATCCACAACTAAATTATATCTTTTCAAGTGGGGGATATCAAAATATACTGATTCTCAAAAATGGGCTGCAGTCCTAAACATGTACTGTATAAATCATTGCTTTAGAGCGTTAGTACTCAAAGTAGGAATGTTTTTGTGTGTCTCCACATAAATCCCCATAATCGTTAAATTTCAGGGAGTAGATTTGATTTAAGGCTGCGATACATCTCCAGGAAATGAATGTAAGTCTGTTGAAAAAAAACTTAGAAAAAATCAGCTGGACTAGATTTCACCTCTCACGTTTCACCTCTTATCCAAGAGATGGATGAAAGTTGAAACATCTTCTACCTAGAAATCTAGTCCAGTTGATTTTTTTCAGCTTATTATGACCTGGATGACTGAGAATCTGCACAGAAATGTAAGTCAGTGCATTGCCCTGTGAAGTGATGGAAACATGACTCTGTGTTCAGGCTATCAGGCTGTCTGGTCACAGATGAAGGATGTGCTTCTCTGGCCTCAGCTCTGAGATCCAACCCTTCCCATCTGAGAGAACTGGACCTGAGCTACAATCATCCGGGAGACTCAGGAGTGAAGCTGCTGTTGGCCGGACTGGAGGATCCACACTGGAGACTGGGCTCTATCAAGTACGGACAGACCAGGGATAGATGGTCTCTCACACTGTGTATCTGTCTTTCTGATTAACTGAGGAAATCTGGTTCATATTTAATGGTGGATGTAAGGGAAAGTGTATGAATCTGAGTCTGTCTCTTCCTCCAGGGTGGACCATGGAGGCCTGCAGTGGATGAAACCTGGTCTGAGGAAGTGTGAGTGTGTTTTAAATGTGGTTCCTGAGAGCATAGCTGCACACGTTCCAATAGATTTGAAAATGATCTTGACTAAAGGACAAAGCTGAATTTCTGCAGTTTCATTCAGGAATTAGCTTTTGTTTTTTGTCAGTGTGGCTGGAAACATATTAGAATTCAATCAGTCAGAAGTCCATAAACACCAAACTGAACAAAGTGATCCAACAAAACTAGGGAGTAACGATAGTTGTAATTTCACTTTATTGCGTCTCGATACCATCGTGGGACTGTGACAGTATCTAGCAGGATATTACATATGATTATTTCACTAGAATAACTGCGTTCAGGTCAAAATTTGAAACTGACAGCGGATGCTCCATCGTCCACTTTTAGAGCTGTTGTGTGACATTTCAGTTTTCCATTTTCAAAAAATGACAAGGCAGATTGTGATGTTTACCTACAGTAAAGCATAAATCTCTCCTCTGTAGCTTGTCCCAGTGTCCTAGAATTTCAGTTTAAATGTCGCCAAACATTATTCACAGTTGAATATGAAATGTCACTTTGAATTTCCTTTCAGTAGTTGTCAGTGAGGTTGTTCCTAAATCAACAGATTATAACCTGCAGCTGTGCCTTTTCTCTCCATCAGATTTCTGTGAACTGGAGCTGGACACAAACACAGTGAACAGAAACCTACAACTGTCTGACAACAACAGGAAGGTGACATGGGTCAAAGAGGATCAGTTGTATCCTGATCATCCAGACAGATTTGACTACTGGCCTCAGCTGCTGTGTAGAACTGGTCTGACTGGTCGCTCTTACTGGGAGGTCGAGTTGGGAGGAGTGGTCTCTATATCAGTGAGTTATAGAGGAATCAGAAGGAGAGGAGACAGTGATGACTATTTGTTTGGATGGAATGATCAGTCCTGGAGTCTGTTCTGCTCCGATGGTGGTTACTCTGTCTGTCACAATAACAGAGGAACAACCATTCCCTCCTCCTCCGGGGGCTCTAACAGAGTAGCAGTGTATGTGGACTGTCCTGCTGGCACGCTGTCCTTCTACAGAGTCTTCTCCAACACACTGATCCACCTCCACACCTTCAACACCACATTCACTGAACTTCTTTATCCTGGGTTCTGGATCAGGCCTGGTTCCTCAGTGTCTCTGTGTGGTGTGTAGGTGTGAGAGTCTCCTGTGGCCAGAAACTCTGACTGAAGATCAGCTGCTGAGGTCAAAGGTCACCGGGTTTACCATCATATTCTCTGCACTGTGAAGCAGATCTGTCTCAGACTCATTTAATCATTTTGATCATCAACATTTGCACAGTTTAGTGAAATGATTTCAGTTCTGTATGATCATTTTTATTTCAGTTCATTCTGCTGTTGCTACTGTCAGGATCCCTTGAGCAGCATCCAGCTCTGATCAGCTTTTAATAGAATCAAATCTTTGTTAAACATCTGTCCAACGGCCAACTAGCACGAACATTCTGCACCTGCGTAAGAGGAACAACTCTCCCTACCAGCAGATGGCAGTACCTGTATCCGCCATTCAGAAAAGGATAGAAGAAAAGCTAGAGTGTGGATATACAAGCTGTAAACAAAGCAGCTGTCATTCAGCACAGCTGCTGTTTATTCCTGATTCTAATCAGAATAAGTTTGATGGCACTGCCGCTCTCTGCCCTTGGCCTTTTGGTTGTGGGAGAAGAAAGGAAGTCTTGGAGGTGAAAAACAAAAAGAACCACACTAAATGGGTGAAATCATGGATACTACAGTGACAGGCTGAAGGGGTTTCCTGAATCTTTTTCTTCTCTTGCACTGATTTGCTTGGCTGAACAGTCAATCAGAGTGGTCTTTTGTCTGCTACTGAGTCAACATGCTGAATTGGCCAAAAAGCCACCAACAGAGTCTGACTAGTGCCAACTGTGCGGGGACACAAAGACGAGGGCAGCAGACACTCATGGATGGCCCAACAGCGGCGTGCGTGGTGGAATTTCTTCTGTACTTTTCTAATTCTATGAAAACTGAACCCATTAACTTTAACTTTACTACAATACAAGTGGTAGGGCACCACAACCCTACAAAGTACACACACCATGATGAGAAAGAACTGAGACAGAGATTGTGAACGGGTCATTTCGCCCAGATTTATTAATGTAACAAATGCAGGTTACATGAATAAACTGAGCTGAGGAACAACTGAAGACAAAGACAAGCGCAGGCATTAAATGCCTTCTGGAACAGGATGAACTGAGCTATCCTGTCTAGACCATTGAAACAAACAGTCCTGGTCTCTAAACACTTGCACATGCCTGCATCCTGACTGAGATGTGATCTTACACATACAGTAGGCAATGACAGTTCAGTAACACAAGGGCCATGATGACCAAATTAAAATAAACATGAGCATCCCAGGACTATAGCAGGATGTAACCCTACATAGTTCCATTAGATCATTTATAACTTTTAGTGCTGACATGACCTCAGCATCAAATCCTACTCTTCCCACCTGTCTGCCTGTGTTCTGTTAATCATGACATGTGCAGGGTGAACTGAACACATACTCAAAACACACAGTCTAGTGGAGAAATACTAAACATGACACGTGAACATAATCATATACTGAATATAATGACAGCAATTAATGATTATGGGCATAGAAATGACAATAATGTAATCTGACTCTATTCAACAGAAAACCAGAACTCTATAGTTTATTGACATCCTAATGTGCCGGACAAAGCACCCATTGACTTCAGGGTGAGGGAACAAGAAATGCCAAAATGCTGACTCAGTTCTGGGTTTTAGGATTCAGTACTATGACATTATTAATTCTAACTTCAGATTAGAATTAAAGGGAAACTTTTTTTTAAGCTGTGATACAGAATTTGTAAATTTTTGATGCATGTTGCATATCTGAACCAAATACATTTATATTGCATAACTATTTCTTTTTATATAAATAGGTAATACATAACTGATTAGAGATATGCGTCTAAACTATTTGTAATACTAGGACAGAGGTTCCCAGACTTCTCGGGCCATGTATCACAATGTACCACATCAAATTTCTCAAGTGCCATTTTCTACCGCAGGTACCAAGAGGTGCATATGCAGCCCCTGGCTGCAATTACTACTACTACTACTACTACTACTACTACTACTACTAGTGTACTACTGAGGTCCAGTGTCAGCATGTTTTTGTTTGTTTTTAAATGTAATTTATTGATTTAACCATGCAATGCCCCAAGAAATATGAGCACGAACAAATCTCTCTTTCTCTCATTGACTATCCCTAGTGTTTCCTTTCCATCTATGGGTTGTAACAATGGGGGAAGTTGAATTAGCACCCAAAGCTCCATTTACAACCATGACAAGCAAGCAGGCTGACTGAGTGTTTTTTCTACACTTGTTTCGCACTGCAGACTGAATCCCATTCTATCAAACGTGTCAGTTCACTCTGGCCCTTCTTGTCTATTTTGTTTTCTCTCTGCTGCATTTAGTGAAGCATAATCTGCACAGACAGCTGTTTATATTACATAAAGTGGCATCTGCTGTGACTGCTCAAGATTCTGATGTAGGACCTAGAGCTGGGAAAATCAGTAAATTCTGACATAAAAACCAATGTTATAAGACTGTAAATTGTTGTGTAGGGCTGCACGACGGCTTAAAATATGAACAATTTGTCACTCAGAATTGAGTGGTATTTTTATTTCAGAGAAAAATGTTGTATTTTTACTACACTACCTGTGCTTGATAACTTTAATTTCTTTTCCAAATCAGAGGAATAAAACTAATTACAAGTTTCAAGTGTACTTTATTGTTATTCACCACCATACACATTACAATGCACAGCAGAACAAAATTTGCTCCTAGCTCCTTAGGGAATACAAAAACAACAAAAATATATATAAAAGGGAATATAAATATGAACACTATAAACAATAAACTATACATATTCTAAATAAAATAAATCTTCAGGCTGGGCATACAATAAGTAGTACAGGTTGTGCAAAACAGCAGGTCCAGTGCAAAAGGCAGTTAAGGTGCAAGGTTATGTCTGAAGTGAATATGTGCCAGATTTCATAGTGAGTTTAAGATTCTGATAGCCTGTGAGAAGAAGCTCTTGCTAAATCTTACACAAGAGGCTTCATCAGTTTTGCCTGACTGGTGGTGAACTGGAGGTATTTATCCCACCGGGTGGGGTTTCATTCCTGGCCGTTAGGGTCTGGTATCGGTGAGAGTCGTTACCTGTCTTTGAACCCTCACATGTGGACTGACGCCTATTGTCCTGGTGTGAATTGGGGTGGAAATGTTTGGTTAGAGATTTCAAAACAGAGTTATAGGTGGATGACAAGTTGTGTCTGAGTCCACCACCCCTATTTGGACAAAACCCCTCTCTCAACCAGCAGTGTTCTCTGGAGAGGATCTGGACTTCACTGTCCTCAAAAGAATGTCCTTTGTCCTTCAGGTGGAGGTGACTGCTAATTCTGGTCCACTGGGGTTGGCCCTCCTGTGTTGGGCCATGCACTTGTGCAGCAGCTGTTTTGTTTCCCCAATGTACAGGTCATTACACTGCTGACTACATTTAATTACATACACCACATCACTCTGTTTGTGTCTGGGTGTTTTGTCCCACAGATGGACCAGTCTCTGCTGCAGGGTGTTCTCTGGCTTAAAAGTTGACTGGGATATTGTGGTTGCGGAAAGTCCGTTTCAGCATCTCTGAAGTACTGAAATATGAAAAGGTATAAAACATCTGCCACATTGTGCTTCTTCCTTAAGCATAGCCTACACCTTAGCGTACACCTAAACATAGTGTCTGTGAGCCCATATAGGCCTAATAATAAATGTACTACCTACCTCAGATTTAAAGCATCATCTAGCCTAAAAATGTTAACCTTTGTGCTTGAACTTTACTTCGATCTTCACAAAACATTACAAGTCAAGCTGACAGTTGTCCAGTGCCTGCCTGCTCCATAACTAATTTCTTTTCATGCTGGGTTTCATAATAAAATCTGACATAGCCTAGAGACAATACTGTACTGTCAGCTTTTGTAGTTCTGAACTGCCAAACGTCACTGCCATATGATTTCATTATCTGGGCTACTCACCTAATATACACATTATTAAGTTTGGCAAATAAACATTTCCAATTTTTTCGATGTGGGACATTTATTATTAAAACAAAAGTATTTTCACCGGAAATGCGGGAATCATTCTAGGTGACACCGGAAGGAGAAGTGTCAGCAAAATGAGTTGAAGTTTTTGAACACTTGGCACAAAACAGTAGTATAACTCTTGCACATTGGTTCTGCGCAGGAGGACTGCAAGGGCTGTTATTGTTAGAAGTTGTGGATTTTGACATTTCGAAAGAGTAAGTTTGTGACTTTAACTGAGCAGAGTTCCGCTTTCATTGTCTGTTATTTAATTCCACACCCGAGTCGTATTAACGTTAGCCATATAGTCTGTGAAATGCCAGCTCGAGATATCCCGTCGTTTTTGTTTTGACACCGCCAAGAGGGTGAGTAGTTAAGTCAGTAACACCTGGAACGATCTGAATGCAATAGGTGTGAGTACAAAGCGGACAGGAACGTTAACGTGAAGCTAAAGCCAGCTAGCTGGAGCGGCGACTTCATTGTAATGGGCAGCTGTTTTCCGCAGAACATTTATTTTTGTTGCACCATACTTGGCTTACTGACACTAAGTAAACTGCTAATATTTGAAAGCGTTTCTTTGGGGGATTCGTGGGCAGGTTGTCGCGTTTTGAGGCGTCAAAGCTGCTGAACTCGAGGTCATTGTCGCATGACTTTCCAGGAAATCAGCTGACCTGGATTTAGGGAAAATCTGCTAAATCTCCGTTATTCCTATTGAGATATTTCAGAAATCACGGTTGCTTCACAGAACAAGCAACACGCATTCTGTGTGTTTTGAGACAAAGCAAATGCTAAACAAAAGAACTTGCACCAAATGTGAAATCCATGCTTTGCAAATAGAACGAAATGCATCAGAAGACAATCAAATAATAAAATAAACAAAAACAAACATAAAAAATGACTCCAGTGTGGATCCACTGCAGTAATAATGGGCCTCAAAGAGCATCAGAGCAATGAATCAAACAAAGGCAGAGGAAAACAAAGTGCTGTAACTGAGTTTTGACAGTGGTTTCCAAACATAGGCTCAAGACCCTACAAGCAACCACAAGATAAAGTGAGGTTTGCTAAGATGACTAATAGAAGGGGAAAGCAGAAAAACATTTTAATCAAGAGGTTGGTTCTGTCTGTGTACAGCATAGCTGAATGCAGCCTCACATGGTTTGCTTTAGACTGGAGGGTTTACAGTCTGCTTTCTAAATATCTGCTGGTTTAAACCATGAGCAACACTTCAAAATCTGTTCTAATACTAACAGAAGCTAGTGTTTGAAGCCTTAGGAAAGCTGGACCTTTTGGAAAGACTAGGCAAAAGACGATTACCGTTTTTGGTCTCCCTAGACATGAAGATAATTTATTTCTATAAATCTTGTCTGAAGATGAGAACTCAAATTTGTGCTCTCTGTTTGAGTATGGATGTTGGCATGGCTCCTGTATAGCAGATCTGAGGCTGTGAAAGCAAGGTTACTTTATAAAAAAGTCCAGTCTGTTGACTTTAGAGAGAAATGCAAGTCAGCACTCCTTTGGGCAGTCAGACTCAGCAGTGCTTCCTTTTGGGTTATGTTTATTTCTGTGAAAAACCAAGCCCTTTTTTTGCACAACTCTTAATCAGGAAAGGCTGAGGCTTCTCTTCAGGAAGTGTTAGGTTACTTTATTTCATGCAAGTTTCCATCTGCTGAATGTGCAGAACATCTCCACACCCTAATGATTCCACCAGCACACACAGACTATTTATGTAGACTCAGTGCATTATCTTGTTTTGAGTATGGATTGAACTATATAGTGTTCACTATAAAACTGTTTTGATTTATTGCAAGGAACTGTCACTTGTCTTAATTTGCAGTTACCTTATTTTGTATGCTTATCTAGATAAAGGACATATCATTTATGGGACTTCAGGAGTTTGTTTTTCAGTCAGTCAGGTAACTCAGATGGTTTAATATGTACAGTCATGGCCAAAAACATTGGCACACCTGCATTTATGTCAGATAATGCACCACTTCTCAGTTGCATTGACTAATTCTTTGGTTTTCTCACGTTTATTTCTTTTGTTTGCATTGGAACAACACAAAAAAGCAGAGGGAAAAAAAAGCCAAATCTGATCCATTCCACACACAAAAAACCCTGTTGCATTCAAAATATCTTAATGAAGCCAATAAGAGGGGGCTATCTTATTATGGAAATCTTGTTACTGCAGCTTTAAACAACAGTACACCGAGCAGCTCCCTGTACTGACTGAAACATGCTCTTCTTGTCCTTTTTAAGGTGCTTCCGAAAAGTATGAATGACTTTGCAGTTCTCAACACGGGCCGAAAGATGCCCCTCATTGGACTGGGAACATGGAAGAGTGAGCCAGGAAAGGTAGAGGCTGCATGTCTGTCCTCTTGTTTTTAACACATTTGAATAATAGGGTTATTTTTATCATTAAATGCATGGCATTCAGCTTTCTATCTTTGCCTGTTCAGTTTCCTGTTTTCCTCCATCCAAATATATTAATATATTTAATGTCGGACATTAAAGCTGCATTATTCAATATATACTGTAATCTACTCTAATATTTCAATTTTTTTTTTATGGTGGATCAAATCACTGAGAGTGATGTGAATGGTGTTACTTGTAGTGACAAACCCACAGAGAACTGTTACTAGACCACACTTCCCTTTAGCTTTATGGTACGTTTTAGCCTCTTTCAGCTCATTATTTTGGTTTCATGACCCACTACTTTACTGTTTTGGTCTGCTCTGACAGCTCTCATCGTGTAATATAATATCCAGCAATAATTCAGGAAAAAAAAAATCTCAATCGACTGTACGCAACCTGCTCAGCACCAAATAAAAAGACAAAGTTAGCAGATAACTGGTTAACAAAGGGGAGCATTTAGAAGCTAAAGAGCCAGATATTTCCCATCAGGAGTTGGTGCAGACCAAACCAGAGCTAAAAGAAGTGAATATTGGACCTATATTTGAATGCTGTTCTGTGTCTGGTGTTTGTGTAAGCAACTGTTCACTAAAGTATATGAACATTGTAAGTTAATAATATTTCAATGTTACATATTCTGCTGCCCAAAGCAGCCAAAAAATAATTTAACACTGCTTTAATTACATAGAGTTGGCAGAGACCCGAGCATCAACACATTAATTTGCCATCCGGACCTGGAAAATCAGTCAGTGTTTTGTGTTTGTGTCCTGTTTTCAGGGCCAACACTGAATAGGAAAGACAAAATGTGTACTCACTGCACATAATGTCTTCTACCTCCATCACAGGTGAAACAGGCAGTTATTTGGGCACTGGAGGCTGGGTATCGCCACATTGACTGTGCATCCGTCTATGGAAATGAGGCTGAGATCGGAGAAGCCCTCAATGAGACACTCGGCCCCAGCAAGGTAAAACAGCTTCTTCAGACTGCATCGTGAGCTCAGTGTTTCTGTGACAAAGCTTTCTCTTCCATAAAGCAAAATACCAACCATTTGTCCTTTGAGGGTGATAGAGACCAGATGCTGAGACCTCTGTCTGGCCTGTACGTTCTTGTCTCTCTTATCCTGAAATGTCACGAATATCTGACATGGTGTTTGTGCACTAGTCCCTGAGACGAGAGGATGTGTTCATCACATCCAAACTTTGGAACACCTCACATCACCCAGAGGATGTGGAGCCGGCCCTCCTGAAAACCCTGAAGGACCTGAGGCTGGAGTACCTGGACCTGTATCTCATCCACTGGCCCTACGCCTTCCAGTGAGCTCAGTCTCCACCAAGGTCTAGTACTGAGTTAATTAACTCGTTATTGAGGGAAAACGCCTTTTTGTTTTCTTGAGATAATGAGATAATTAACAAATAGGACAAAACACTGTCATCCCATGATAGCGACTGTAGAAAATATAATTGATTTTTCACAGAAGAGTTAAATACAAAAATGAATTCATGACACTGTACTTATATCACCATTAACAGGAACTTGCAAAGGGGCCATATTTCAACAAAATAAAAACTAGTTTTACTTGTTTTCTACTTCAGTTTGTCCTTGCTTGCTTTTAATCTCTTTTAAACATGGCTCCTGTTTTGTACCCTTAGACAAGGAGATGTTACTTTTCCCAGAAAGGAGGATGGCACCATGCTGTATGACGACATAGACTACAAGTTGACCTGGGCTGCCATGGAGAAGCTGGTGGGGAAGGGTCTCGTCCGTTCCATTGGCCTTTCCAACTTCAACAGTCGGCAGATTGATGACATTCTCTCTGTCGCCAGCATCAAACCAACTGTCCTACAGGTACAGGGGGTTTGTGATGCTGAATAAGTTTATCAAAATCAAAAAGGTCAGGTAAGAAGTCACCCTGGTATCTCTGTGTTTTGATTGGACAGGTAGAGAGCCACCCTTACCTGGGTCAGGTAGAACTGCTGGCCCACTGTCGGGACCGGGGCCTGGTGATGACGGCCTACAGCCCCCTGGGTTCTCCTGAGCATGCCTGGAAACATCCAGATGAACCGGTCGTGCTTCAGGAGCCTGCGATCGCCGTCCTTGCAGACAAATATCAAAAGTCTCCTGCTCAGATTATCCTGAGGTAAGTTCATAGCTCAGCTACCAACAAGTGCTCGACACTTTTACCACACAATACATTGTTCTCACAGGGCGTTTTGAATTCTTTAGAGATTATATTTCTTCAGTCTGAAAAAGTTTAAGTTGTCGAATTCAAGTTCTTTAATTGATTCTTTTATCTAGTTGTTAGTTTTCACATTTGTAGCACAATATGTGTCACATTGACATATGGGTGACAAATGAAAGGCAAACCAATAAAGTGTCTCAGTGAGGTGCTGGGCGACCATGTGCCACCAGAACAGCTTCACCTTGGCATTGACTCTCCAAGTCTCTGGACTCTACTGGAGGGATGAACACCGTTCTTCCAAAAGATGTTCCCTTGTGGTGTTTTGACGATGGTGGTGGAGATGCTGTCTAACACGTCACCCAACATCTCCCATAGCTGTGACCACAGCATATGATTCACATCGTCATACCCATCAAACCATTCAGTGACCCCTCACACCCTGTGGATGAGGGCACTGTCAGTCTGGAAGAGACCACTCAGTCAGCTTTTTCCTTTCATTAGTCACCTGTCTGTATTTACAAAATAAGGCATAATTGCACACATCTGTGTACATCAGTCAGATATTGCCAGTTTTATAAGCATTGTTTTTATAGTTGGCCTTTTTGAAATAAATCAATGAAGCCTTAAATTCATATAGATTTATACTCTGATCCAGTGAAAGTTCAAAAGAAAGCACAAACGGAGGATGTTTCATTCCTGTCCCACCTTGACTGGGGGCAACGACGTGAGTTAGAACGCTAAATCAGCCAGGCTGACACATCAGATCATACTTAGCTTATTGTAGATATATTGGAATCAGTACACTGCAGTTCAGAAGTGGTCCAGTCGTAGTATGTCCCTTACAAAGTCTGTCCACCAGAGAGTGCTGACAGGTAGATTTTTCAATTGTAAACTCTCTCACACATGGTCACTATACTGTATACCCTGTCTTGGTCACTATTCTTAAAAAACAAACAAAAAAAAGATTTGAAAGACTGAAATCAGGTCAGTTGGCCAGCACATTATTTTACTTTCAAATATTAATCTGCCTCAAAAGGCATCCAGTACTGGTCTCTTGGGGGTAGTGCAACAAGCTGTAAAATCAGGTGACATCACCATACAGAGCCTATATATCATTTCTCTGCATGAAGTACCCTGCTGTAAATACCAGTACTTTACTAGTAATCATTTTCCAAATTATGCTGCAGCATTTGAAGTGTTGCTTTCAGTTGCGTGCACTGTACTGCTGACAATGCCCGACTCTGGCTATGCTGTGGCAGTGCTGGGTGATAGCGCAGTGCTGTTTATAAACTTTAAGTGGAATTTTGAGTAGGTGTCTCTTGTTACCTATTAACAAAAGTAAATGTAATGTTACCATAGTTTTCATTTCATACAGACCTTTCCTAATGTTCAATACTGAGGTCTGTTGTACTTGCAGGTGGCAGGCACAACGAGGTGTGGTGACAATCCCGAAGAGTGTGACACAGTCACGTATCAAAGAGAACCTCCAGGTGCAGTAAGACGTTTAGTCAAAGCTGTCGATTTCCAGCTCATGATGCTTTTTTAGATGGTTTCTTTAACGAGATTCTAAAGAAAAGTGTGTTTGTTGTCAGGTGTTTGACTTTGTCCTTGAAGCAGAGGAAATGAAAAGTATTACAGCACTGAACAAAGGCTGGCGCTACATTGTACCGATGATTGAAGTAAGTGGACTTTATGTGCTGCACTGTAGCTCATGGTTGGTATTGATGGTGTTGTACTTTAATTGTCCCTTCAACTGGCAAACGTTTCCCATCTGGCTCAGTTTGTAAGAGATCGTAAACAAGAGACGGTGATAATGACAGATTATGCACGAGTCCTCATCATGCTAGAAGCTCAGAGTATGATTTCAGTGGTAAAAAAAGTAGTAATCTGTAGTAATTCACTTTGGTTGTTTGTATCCCGGCCGAACAATTCAGTGTAATGAGTATTGGTACAAAATATGATTAACTTGCAGCATGGGCTCAACTCGAGCAGTTTGGCAAACGGCAATGGAAAGGCAACAGTTTAGTTTGAAAAATGTCAGGTTTGACAGGTGAACAAAGGCATCACTGAAGGAGAGACGGAAATATGTTTGGTTTGGATATTACAGGTGGATGGAAAGAGAGTTCCCAGGGATGCAGGACATCCTTTCTACCCTTTTAATGACCCCTACTGACGTCTCACACTACAAGCTGAATTTGTGCCTTCTACAACCCATCACCTTCCCACAACACTGGATCCTGGCATTGAAAATTGTCTTTAGATGAAGTTGAATCCTGCACTTATAATTAGAACATTTCAAGCTACTTCTGGTGATGAGGTACACCTGTACACATTATTTTTTAAATAAACATTTTGTTACTTCAATTGCCAGTGTCTTTAGTTAACCAGTTTACATAACTATTTATGAATAAGTGTCTGTGAGACAGTGTGGTTTTGGACAATGTAGAAAGTTTTAAGCAAACAATAAATGTGCATTACCTGGAGCTGAATACAGTACTATGATGCAGACTGAGTTTGTTTCCAAGACTTGGAGTGTTTGTATGGTGTCAAGTCAATCAGACCAGTGCAATAGATTTTACATTTAAAATATCTGAAAACAAACAACTGAAGTTGTTCTTTTCTACACTAGACTCTGAGAGCCTTAATCCTATTAATGACTTTTAAATATTCAAAGTACCTAAAAGTCCTATAGCTCTGTAGCTGATTACGTGTAATTGTAAATACATATTCTACTTTCAGCAAATTTTCACATTTTTAAATATTTAATTCCTTTGTTTGGGGTCTGTGTAAACCATCGCATTATAAGAGAATTAGAGCCACGAAGGTTCAACACTGGTCATCATTTCCTAGGAAATTGACAGCATGGATGCTTTATATTATTTCTCCAAAATCATTCAAATCACTGAACAAATCCAATGAAATTGTGATTCATTCACACATTTAACATCACAATTTAAACCTGGACCCACATTTAAAACTGAATGATTCTGATCCTGACGTGCACATTAAGGAAGAATTCATTCAGAGCTTCAGGTCATGACTGATTCACAGCAAGTTTAATTCTTCCTATAGTAGAGAAAGTGTAAATGTGCATGTGTAAAACTTGCTTTAATATGAAGGAATGGCAAATGTCTCTTGGTCTGTAATCAGGCCAGAGCACCAGCTGTCACATAAAGCGGTAGTCTCCCTTGTACTCGTAAGGCTTCCTCCATTGTCACTTCAAAGGCTGGTGCTTACGGATGTACTGTGGAAAGAAGGAAGGAACGTAGACAAACCTGAGTGCGTTGTCTAAAGGTTTCAGAAAGCCACAGTTTAATGCAGTTTGAAAACTGAACTCAAAGCCAATTTAAATGCTTTTGTTCATTTTCCATAACACAATCATTTTCCAATAGACCAGCCACATCGCTGTCAGTGAGTTCAGGAAGCCATGTGCGTGTGCAATAAAGATGCCATCATGTAGCGATATAACTAGTGAGAAAATGTCAGTTCTTTAACAAGTCGAACATTAAATGAATTAGTTCAAACCACTGATGGCACAGTTGTGTGATATTAACTTTTTAGTCGAAGCTAAAGATTATTCACGACTACACACAAGGCCACTGTGTGTGTATGTGTATGCAGTGTGCTTTACCTCCTTGGTGTCCTCCAGTGTGGTGTATCTGTAGTTTGGTGGTCCCAGGCTCTGCACCAGGCTGGAGTGACGATGGGAGCTGCTTTCAATGAACTGCCTTGTCATGGCAAGCTGCTGTTTCAGCATTTCAGTGAGTACATATACGGCTGGATTGTAGGTGCTGAGAGCTGACGTACGGATACAGAACACACACACACGATGACAATCAGTACCATTGTTATAGCACTCTCATGCACAATGCCTGGATTTATGGCAAATGTAGTCTTACTGGTGAGAAACTCGCATTATAAGCATCACTAGTGTGTCTTCATCAACACTCTACACATCGTTCACAACTCACCCAGAGTAATAACTGGAAACAGCTGGTGACAAAAGCCATCTAACTGCACCTCTAGAGCTTAGCAATTAGCACATTATGTCCTGTTTGTTTAATTCTTACTGGACTGACCACATACAGTGAAGTCTGGATTCTGTGCTAAGCTACGCCAACTGCCTCCTGGCTCTAGCGTAATTCACGAGGCTGGTTATCAAGCTTCTCATATAATTGTCAGTAACAAATGAATTACTCCTTTAATCACTTAAAAATCTAGTGTGGCATGATGAAATATTTTGAAAGGATGTGATTATAAAGGTCTGTAATTGTCTGGATTTCATCTGCAAAGCACCAAGCTGGCCAGTTTGTCACTACATGTTTTTCCTCACATCTATACTGGCTCTCTACTCATTTCAACTCCAGCTGATGATATTATTCATTATTCTCAGGGGTGTTCTTCTTTTTGCCTCCAGTTAGTAAAGCTGCTTACATGAATTTCATGAACAATGTCAATTCAAATTTTGGCACTTGAAGATTTTTTATTATCTGATAAATATCCTATTTATTTCACAAATGTCACAAAATAACACTATGCTCAAGAAAAGTACATAAAGTGTTTAGATAAGGCCACCAAAGATGTTTGTTTTCTGGTATTAACCAGTTTCTTGTAGAGCTGGTCTGAATCGAGGCCATTCTATTCAATAGCACTTCATAAACTACAGCAACATAAACAGTGGCTACTGTTTGACTCGCTGGAAAGTTTGTAGTATTCTTGTACAAAACTCTAATATTCCTGCAAAGGACTTCTCAAAAAATCAGGACTACCATCATTTTCTGTTGTGAAAATAATCCATTTAAAGAACTGGTTTAATGGAGGTGGGCTACGAGTGCCCGCTGCATTTCTAGATGTAGTTATGTTAAATACTGTTCTCTGTTAAACTGGGTCTTACCTTCCACTGTTTCTGCACTAAGAATATAAGCAGCCACTGGCATGGGATTCATGTATGTTGTGTAGAGTGCAGGGCCAGATGTAGCCTCACCTGCACAGAGGGAGAGTCTGAGATGAGAAACAGAAATGTCTGTGTATAATCATTCATATGTGTGAGGTAATACATGCACAGTCACTGTCAGATTAACAACTCTTGACAATGTCATAATTAAGGTAAATGAATGTGACCATGGTGCTGATGATTAGTGGCAGACTAACCAGTTAACCATGGGTAGGCCAGGGTACCAGGCTGCGTCTGTACTGCTGCCTCTCTTAAAACCTTTCTGGCTGAAGCACGCCTCCTTGGCTGCTGAGGCGAGGTCCGGCTGCCATGCGATACCGAAGATCTGGAGCCCCTGTTTCTGCTGAATGACCTTGCTATCTGACTATGACCTGAGGTCTGTGACGTGCCAGAGATACTTGTGTCTGAGAAAGTGCATGAGTAATCATCCTCTGTCTTCTGTTGAGACGTTGAATCCAAAGCCTCCGATGCTGCTGCTTCTTCATCTCCTTGCAGGTGCTCTGAAACCTGGCTGGCACTTTCAAAGTCACTTTGGTAGTGCAGCACGTTCTCCTCCTCCTCCTCCTCCTCCTCCTGCTGCTGCTGCTCTTCTTCCTTCAGTCTTGATAGCTGCTGATATCTGCTCGGGGACCCAGGAACAGGGGGACTGTGTCTGGCTTCTCTCTGTTTAGGCAGCAATAAGCAAGCAATGAAGCTGTCTGCTCCTGGAAACAACAAACTGAATAGGGAACTGCAGAGTTATGATAAATCACTGCAGTACATCTTTCACATTAAAAAGTCATTGGATCCATACTGATTAGTGCAGCTGTAAATTAATCTTAGTCAACTGGAAACTACAGCATGTGTAAATGCCAAAATTACATAGAAACAAAAAAAATTTCCATCTAAACATCCAAATACATTGTACATCACACACAACATGTCATATACTACTACGATTAATTTTATTAGACTATTTTCTTTAATAGATTGTTCTTGAATCTTTGCTGCCATTACCCACCTCCTTTTCTCGTGTATCCTCTGTAAATCCAACGGCAACAGGCACAAGGTCGTCTAACATCATCACATTTACCTTGAACTCTGCAAGGATCCACGTACATAACAGAATTTATGAAGTGACAGCACATATCCAACTGTCGTGAGTGCTACTAATACATTACAGCTCAAAAATACAGTCAAAACAAAATCTAGAAAATGAAGTTGATTCTAGACTGCTGTATCCACTGATGAAAACTTACAAAGCATACGAATTGTGCTTATACATTTATAGATTTCAGGTCTTGCAAAGCAAATTTATTTTTATTTGTCCTATTCTCTATGAATTCTACGTCAGCAGAGGGATGAACTTCCTTGTTGCCCATCTAGGATGCGCAGTTTGAGGAGTGAAGAATGAAACAGGATTAATGGACAAAAGCACCATGAAACCTCTCTTGCACATGGACTGAGCATTTTGATGTCAACGAATCATCAAAAAACTGACACTGGTAAAAGTGACACACACAGAATAACGGTAATTTTAAGACCTACTGAGTCTCCATCCTTCCTGATGTATCTGATGCCCTCACCTTCAGAAGAAACTAAACTCATCTCACTGTGGGCATCTTCAGAAGCAGGCCCCACAGGAAAGAGCTCCTCCAGAGACAGTACCTCGCCAAACACGGGCGTCGAGGAGAGGGAACGCCGCGGACTGCCAGTCCTCTGAGGAGAATTGTGTGTGTCTGGAGGAGATGGGGAGACACTAGGGGGAGAGGTGGATGGAGAGAGCACAGAGGGGCTGAAGTGGGCCTGAGCCTGGCCGGTGAATCGAAAAGGAGAACTGCGATGAGAAGGAGAGGCGGAGGAGTGAGGTGGTGCTGAGTTGGAGGATGACGGGGGAGGGACAGCAGCTGGGGGAGGTGTGGAGCAGACCTTGTGACTTCCTTTCCTCATCATCTGTGAGAGAGGAAAGCAGTGTCAAACTGCAGAAGTGTTCGGGTTTTCATCGTCAAATCATTAAAGCAAATGACTGCACTAAAACGCTGCCCCACTGGTTTTGATGCACGGTTAACACTAACAGCCTTATTACTGAGGTTGTGTATGCAATATGCAATGAGCTGATGTCGTATATGCAACCTTCAAGTTCATAGTTACTCTGCAAAGAATCAGTAATTTACATGTGTGTCTTCACTTTACCTGTGTAACTCTAATAAAACTGATACTTTAATTCTTAGCATGCAACTGGAACATTCTGCCTGAAACGCTGCAGGCCTTCTTCTGAGTATCATAAGTACAATCAATCAATATGCTGATAGAAGCAAGAATGTGGTGTCAACCCAGACCCAAACCGAATTCCTAATTTTCTATCTGAACCCGACCCAAGCCCTCGGCTACGGTGACGGTCCCGTCCAGCTTGATTCGGGTATCTATACTCTGTGGTAGTGAAGGAGACCCAGAAACACAAAAGTACATTGATTTGTTGTATATTAACTGTGAAAACAGTATACAGTATTATGAAAACAAGTACACAGCACATATTGTATTGTAGTGTATGCATTTATTATGCAGGGACACAGCTACTGACTGCACGGCTAGAATACGCTTCACTTCACTCATACCATGATGAGAACTTTAGTGCTCAACACACAACGCACTGCATTACTTGTTTCTTTATTTGTGATCCATGTCAAACACAAACTGTCATGACAGACAGTGATGTTTTGCTGAATTTAAATCTGACATTACTGAGTAGCCTAACGTATCCTGAAAATAATCATATATACAATGCCGTTCTAAGACATGTACTCGTAGTAACTATGCTAAGTGGTTTTAAGGATAATCACCTTTATTGGCCAAGTATGTTACACACAAGGAATTTGTTTCCGGTACAGAACCAATGGCAGCCATCTGCGGTGCCACTAAATGAAATTAATTTAAAATAAAAGGACTGAAAACTAACCAAAAATGCTCAAGAGTGTAAATGTAAAAGGTAGCCTACCTTGTTCGGCTGTTTCCTGGAAGAGAGTTTCTCTTGTCTTAAGAAGCTGTTATCTGTTGAATCTGACAAATCTCCGAGCAGTTTCCTCATGTCCTCTTCATCACTTTCCAGACTCACTGCTGTCATTGATTTGGTCTTCAAACCCACCAAAGGCACAGCAGCGCTGGCAGCTCTGGGCCTAAACATGACACCAGCATCTGGGCCTTTTGATGACCCAGAAGCAGCAGCTGCCTTGCTCTTGAGGAAACGTTTCCCCTTCAGGCTCTGGTCACTGCTGGACTGTGCTGAGACTGGCACAGAAGCCTCCATTGACTGAGAAACTACTTCTGGTGGCAGGGAGATTTCCAGCTCTGAGGTTAGGGTGTGGGCAGGTTTTGGCCCCTGTCTAGCCTGTTCGTGAGGCTGCTTGTGGCTACGAATACGACTCTCAATTTGAGCCAGTCTGTTCAAAACAGCAGTCTGAGAGCTGTGCTGGGAAGGTGACGCATATCTGAGCAGAAGGGGTGAAAAGGATGAATGAAGGAAAACAAGAATACAATCATATCAGAACAGAAAATATTTCCACATGACACCCTTGTGCTAATCATCAAACCAATTTCTCCTCCATCCACAGAAATGTACCTTGGTTCAGTCATCTGCTCCATTTGGCTCTTGCTGACAGGTGACTGGCTGCTGTTTATTGCAGCTGGTGGAACCTTCTTTAAGAACCTACTCCCTCCTCTTCCCAGAGAGCTGTGAGGTCTGAGATCCTGACAGAAGAAAACAGGCAGTGCTCAGAGTGGACCTACCAAACACCCCACTGTGGTAGTTTATAAAGTTCCATTGCATTTTTGAGCCGAGCAATATGGCATCAATGATTAATATCCTCTTTAGGCTTTAACCTTGTTAGAATCCTTGTCTCTTCTCTGGTTCTTCTCAGGAGCAGCAGAGCCCACGGTGTCAGCTCCATGCTCAGGAGCTGAGCTTACTGAGGACAGGTCACTCAGATCTGAGAACAGGGCGTGGGGATTTTGGGGACCAGAACGGATGTTGATAGATACACCTGTAGTACCCTAGGGAAAAGTGGAGGAATGTTTCTGGTTTTAAAGAATCCTGGGACTTACCAGTGGTGGACAACAACTCATTACATCCACTTCAGTTCAGAACTTCTTTACAATTGACATACTTGTACTTTATTTTCCATTTCATTCTACTCTGTTCTTCTGCTATATGACTGGAGATGCACCGATGGATCGGTGGAGATCGGAGATGGCCGGTTTCCAGCATGATCGCCTTTGACCGGTGACTGGTCGATCACTCTGGGATATCTGATTCTGTGCAGCTCAGATTTAGAGACATGACAGTCCATGTCAAGCACACAGTGGCACAGACCAAAAGCATAGCATGTGCAGCATGTAGCATCTTGCATGCACCTCAAGAGACTCACATTCGTGTCTGTGCCAGGCATGTGTTCACTCGCACATCAGAAGTGCTCGGTATACAAACAGTTCAAGCACTTCATGTTTAGTTGGAGGTTTGTACAAAATAAGATCAGCTTATAAAATATGATGTAGCATTATTGTTGTTGCACATTATCAATCCAGGAGACAGGTTTTCTTCATGGGTGTTGTCTCTCGATGGTAATATTACATTAGATTCATTGCGCATTTAATATGGTTAAACAACAGTTGCCATCAGTGACATCTAAGTGCCTTAGATTTTGTGTTACTTATTTATCTACCTTACATTTCATTTGTATTTTGTGGTATTCGTGTGGACGGCCAAGTAAGAATTTCATTGTACAGGGAAACACGTTTCCTAACTGTGCATATGACACTTTGACCTTTGACATGATGAAGTAAAAGTTGGGTTAGAGAGAATTCTTTTGTCTCTCAGTCTGTAGAACTGTTACATCAGAATTTAACCTCTCAGTAGCCCTCAGCCCTGTTATTCAGATTATTACTTGACTTTACTGCAGCTGTCTTTCCATTTTGTCTGATATGTTAAATGTTTGCTATGTATTGTTGGTGTTAAGATTATGTATAGTATGTTTTGTTGTTGGTAATGACAGATTTCATAGTTCTATTCTGACAATACATTGTAATCAAACCTAAAATAAAATGCCCATCCCTAGCTAAGATTTCAAATCGAAATAACCTCTATCTGTTGAATTAGAAAAAAACATTCAGGTTGGAGACACGAAACTCACCGTGTGCACCGGTGTTTTGGCTGCAGACCCCCGTGTGGACTCGGCGACTCCTCCACTGCTCCTCTTCACGGACAGCAGTACCTGGGCTCGGTCCAGAGCGGAGCTTCGACCTCCTCGTTTCCACATCTTACAACTTTCTAATGTCGTAACCATTAACTTAATCCACGTCTATACATGATGTTACAAGTTTAATGTTTCACGTTATCTTAACGATAACATTAGCTAAGCAAATATAATAACGTTAGCTAACAGTTTTCTCTTGCATTGGTTAGACAGCTAAAGGCATGCTAGTTAGCTAACTACAAAGGGCGAACTTGAATTAAAAGTTTGTCAAAGAATCACTCGTTCATGAATTTCTAGCGTTTAACATGAAACTGTTCGCAGCGTCACAACCTGCTTTGTGAATAGCAACCATTCTAGCGCTGGCATGCCTTGTATCCATGGAACAGATTCTTCTTCTTTACTTTTCTTTCTTTTTTTCTTCTTCCTCTGTAATTTAATTGCGGTTGGCAACCAGCTTTAGGTGCATTACTGCCACCTTCTAGACTGGAGTGTAGCTCAGAACGGCCCCTACCCAGTATTACAAAAAAATAACCTTACTTAGTTCACATTATACAACCTTGTTTAACCCTGTGCTTTCTACAAACCTAATAAGTGTTCTGTATCCACTAAGTGCCTTGTATGATGGCACAGATTCTTCTTCTTCTTCTTCTTCTTGCTTCAATGGGTGGTTGGCAATTCAGTGTAGATGTTCATCACTGCCACCCACCAAACTGGAGTGTGGAACAGTAAATTGTCTGGGAAAAACAACACCCTGGACAGGTCGTCAGTCTAGGGTTGACACGTAGACAAACAACCACACACTCACTCCTATGGGTAATTTAGAGTCACCAGTCAACTTAATCTGCATGTCTTTGGACTGTGGGAGGAGGCCGGAGTACCCGGAGAGAACCTGGGCAGGCACATGGACAGCATGCAGACTCCACACAGAAAGGCCTTGGGTCAGCCAGGATTCAAACCCAGAACCTTCTTGCTGTGAGAAAGCAGCACCAACCACTGCTCCGCCCAAAACTAAACAAAGCAAATTAAATTGATCAATTAATTAATTAAAAAATAAAATTGCATTTCCTCGTTCTCTCAGCGTGGCCAGACAAGCATGAAAAATCCCCCCTTGTAAGTGCAGCAAACTATAACGCAGCTTTCAGGGAAGAGCAGAGGTACAAAACAGCAAAATAGTCATCCACTGGCACATGAGACAAAGTGTCAGCATTGATACTGTCAGAGCCTTTTATGGGGCGGATGTTTAAATGACATGGCTGCAAAAACAACGCCCATCCCACCAACCTCTGATTTAGATTTTGTAAAGACTTTAGAAACGAGAGTCTGTAAAGACTGTCAACATACCAGAACCAACATACAAATCAGTGTTGCAAAGCCCATATGAGTACCAGTGCCTCCTTTTCTACCATGGAGTAGTTGAGCTAATGTTTATTTAACTTCATGGAGAAGAAGCTTAAAGGGCAATCTACTCCTGCACCCACCTGACGTTTAAAGGGCTGATTAAAACGAGGTGCAGCCAACACAGGAGCTAAACAGAGCAGAGGTTTTGCCCTCTCAAAGGCTTCCTGTCAAAGTGGGATCCAAATTAAGTTCGACTTAGCTATAAGCAGGTCAGTAAGTGGGGAGACTACTGATGAAAAATTGTGACAGAACCCACAATAATACCCTACATCCCCAAAAAGCACATTAACTCCTTTTTGACAGTTGGAGCTGTTGCACAGCCACAATTTTGGCCTGCACAGGCCAAACCTGGCCCTACCCCACCACTTTACCCAAGCATGTTGCCATAGCCTAGGGCAAGGGTGCCCAATACGTCGATTGCAAAGGTAGTGTTGGTTATGGAAGTCTTTTTCCGCCAGTACAAAAAAAATTTTTTAATCTACAAAGTCATAATTATGAGTTAAAAAGTCGAAATTTTGACTTAGTAAGTCAAAATTATGAGATAAAAAGTC